TTAGCCTCAGTATAACGTGGTTAATTTCCTGTGTTAGTTAACTTTTAGAATTCGAAATACGTTTGAAACTGATTCTGAAATTAATATGTTCATATCAATATTAAGTTCAGGCTAAATGAATGTTTGTAACAGGACCGTTTAGGATTAGTCTTACAAGCCATAACTAAAGTGTAGAATTACAAAATGTATGCATTTCATCCATTTACTTGCATTTGACAGTTCAGTATACTCATTCCCCGTTTCAGTCCAATAACGAGTTCAAAACAAAGAACGTATGAATGAGGCTTCACTTTTATTATGTTAGGGTGTAAAGTTCCAGAAAATAAGTGAATTAATTCACCAATATCCCTATAGCTTGGGTATGAACATGAAATTTGGCTTTTTACCTATCATTTACATATTAAGAAAAAATGAAATTTAGCCTCAAGTTTGATGTAACAACGGAATCTGGAATTTAAGAGCTATTTGCATATCGTATTGGGCCTCGTTGGTTTGGGCTGATTAGGCCATAATGTTTAAGTTTAGTTTTGACCCATTCGCATAGCAGTGGGTTTGAGATATCATCCCACCAAATCATTCGGGTCTATTGTGTCATAAACCATGCTCCATGTTTGCTTCAGCTTTGGGCTTGCTTTAGGGCCCAAGCATGAGTAGACATTACAGGTTAAGCTTAATTGAATTCTCACCTGGGCCAGCTCTTAGGCCCAATATGCTAAAGAATTTGTAATCTCATTTTATTGGTTACATTTCATAGTGCCATTTCTGGGCTTTCCAAGCTAGGTAGCGAATTTAAATTAAGAGGTTCTCCTCTTGTTTGAATTCGGACTTGATCTTGAAGCCCGAGTCTCTTTGAATACTCTTCATAATAATTGAATCACAATGCTAATTAATTAGGCCTTTTAGAGACAATCTTTAATAGAGAATAATAGTCCCTTTAGATGCCCTTTTAAAATAATTTGAGGTGCGCCGCGCCAAATAAAATTCATAAATTGCGGGGCCCTCTTTAAATGTTTATATTAAAATACTTAGAAGTCGGGACGTGCCGTTTAGCGAATTTTCACGGCCTCCCGCGAAGTTAATAACACGTTAGTTGCCTTAGGCGCGCTTTAAATAATTTTACCTTCCTAAATACGGGTGTGTATTTCATGCAACCCAAATCCAAATCCCAAAACGTTGAATAAGAATGTGTCGAGGATCCGGGTGCATTTCGTGTGACGTGATCCAAAAACACGTTTTTTAAACGATGTTCATTTTCTAAATTTTTTTTTTTAACTAAAAGCGGTTAAATAATTCTAAAATTGCACTATATGTTTGAACATGTATAAAAAAATCAGATTTTAGCCATTTATAATAGTTTAAGCGACCGTGCTAGAACCACGGGATCCGGGGGTGCCTAACACCTTTCCTCGGGTCAACAGAATTCCTTATTCAGAATTTCTGGTTCGCAGACTCCAATTGGGAAGTCGAAATTTTTCCTCGATTTGGGATTCAAGTTAAACCGGTGACTTGGGACACCAAAAGCCAATCCTATCCCAAGTGACGACTCTAAACAAATAAATAATCCCATTTCGAATAATGTTACTTTAAATGGAAAAACTCCCTTATACATTATTCTTCGGGGTAGATGTGTAAAAAAAAGGAGGTGTGACAAGAGATATATGAGAAATGTTATCGAAGTACAAGAGGAAACTGGAACGGTTTAGTGTAGTCAAAACAAAGATTCGTAGAGCAGGAAACTCTGAACAAGTTAAGACTCTTAAAAGAACAAAAGTTTTATATCTAATTAAGAGATAAAAGATAAAATTAAAAGGATAATGGCAAGGATGGAGTCTAATGTAAGGACAAAATCTCATCTAGAAAGATTTGAGCATAATCTAAAATTCAATATAATAATATAAATTAATGAATATCTATAGAAAGAGTTGTACAACAGTTTATCTCAATTAATTGTGCTATAAAATCTTCAAAATCTCTTAGAAGTTGCATAATTCTCTTTCTGCAACTGGAGATGGAGGACTGAGATGAGGGAAGCTTAGACTTTCCGATATTACATGCAAAGACAGAAAAGAGATCGGGAGCTCAAATATATATACAGTGCCTAGTATGGCCGAACGCCTATGAGCGAGCCTACTACGGCGGAGTAGTTATATATACCGAGCCCTATAGGACCGGATAGTTATTTTACTTATTATATTGAGAGAGTTGAGTCAAAATCAGCAGGTAAACATATTTTCAGATTATCTTTGACTCCTAGTTATTTTCAGTTATTATATTACCAGTTCAGTTCAGCTTTCGTATTCAATTGTCTGGATGGATTCAAGTCTTTTGCATAAAGTTGAACCCATTACTAATACCTTCAAAATTATGGGTTCAAAATAAATATATTGGAAACTTTAGCAATCCCTTGCTTACATGCTCCATCTGCAACCGAATATGATAAGGAACAATGGCACATGCAAGGAGTTTTGCTTAAGATATTCTTGATAGGTACTTTTGCGGATCATGACATTAAAGTTGTTCAACCAGTTGTTAAGATATACTATTAACCATGCGGTTTAGACATAGTATTATATTTTATTCTTTATTGAATAACTATTTATTTAATTTATTCAATTCAATAAAGTACTATACATAGATCATTTGTTACATGTGCATTTAGTTATGTAGTAGACAATTTAGTGTATGGAGTCTTAGCTCATGCACAGAAAATTAAATTGTCGGTTCTCATAATTAATAAACTATGTTCACAATCGAAGATATTATAGGGCAAAATATCTTGATGATGGTAGCACAAGTTTAACGTATAATTTGTCTTGATTATGGGAGTGATTTTACTCCGACTTCTTGTGCTAGTATACTTAGTGTATATTGAACGGACCAAGTAGAGAAAATATATTTTTGTACTGAATATATATAAAATATTTTCTCTAATTCATTAAATGAGCTTATACTCCTAATCTTGATATAATTATTATGATCAATGTAATTTGTTTATTGTTTTGATTATCAAAAGGTACAACTCTATTCAGAGTTAGTGTATGCCTAATAGATTGGATGATAATGAATAGCATTTGTGAAATAATATTTAGTTGATAGAATCCATGACTCAGTTTTGAGTTTGATGATACCCCTTTTATGTAAGCTTATAAGTTTTCATGTGAAAATCGGCTTGTGAATTTTGTATCCGTCACATGAAATAGTTGAAGCGGAATTATAAAGAATTTAATTAGTTGATTAAATTAAATTGTCAATGATTAATCTAATTAACTGGTATTTGTGATCTTAACATGTAGATTTAAAATAAGTGGTAACGAATTTTTGAAATTCATATTGAGGAGTTCAATCGTAATTTTTAGTGGAATAAAATGCAATTAATTATAGTAAGAATTAATTCATCCAAAATTTTGAATTAATGCTATAATTGGTAGTCTCTTATTGTTTCTGTGGTCCCTGCTATATCTAGTAAAAACCTGGACTGACTTGGGTAAAAAGTGACTTGGGAGAACCCTACTAAAAAATCTGATTTTAGCGACGGCCAAATTCTGTAGCTAAACAGAAAATTTCGTCGCTAATCTCATTTAGCGACGGATTAGCGATAGCTTATCAAGAAATTCATCTAGCTACGGGCGATTTAGTGACGGCGTTCGTAGCCAAAAATCATCCTTGAGAGTTAGAGTAGGATTCTACTTGCAAAAGCAGAATCCTACACGTTTTGGATCCCTCCTTCGGCCGAAATACGGGTCTACATAAGGAAGACGTTTTTCACCCAATAACTCACTTTTTAGAGTTGTATTGTTCTTGCCCACTCAAAACAATTTTGTCCAAGACCTTACTAGCTAGGACCATACCAGAAGACTGCAGCCCTGGATTCTTGCTCTGAAGAGGACATGTGCAACATTTTCAAAAGGTTAGTGGTTCTAATCTCGTAATTATATTATTGTCTAGTTTACATGTATGTAATGCCTGAATTGTATGCTTGCTTTCGCTGCGCATATTCTAACACCTATAATATAATGCACATTAGTTTCTAGTTAATATATATTCTTTACTATGCATAAAAGTATCTGCGCATGTAAGCACTTATGAGTGGGGTCTTGAGAAGTAAGCTTGACAATGATCCGCTTACCTTAAACCTAAGGAGTATATGAGTATTATGTCCCTATTATAGCATGTCATCTTATTCCTATCAAACATTCAAGACTCAACAAAAAGTATCTGGAGAACATCTAAGTGTGCCACAATACCTATTATCTTGGTGAGACCCTATATACATATATGTGTGTGTGAGAGAGAGACTGCGATCAAGACAGGTCAATTACCTAAGGATTTGTTGATGAGTTGGTTTCGAAAGCATATTATTTATTGTTCAAGTTTGGATTTCCTTTCAACCTACAGAATGGACTTCTTCAACCAAAAAAAAAAAACTATTTGTAGGGTCATGAATTGAGCATCATCAATATTATTGAGTTGAACTATTTTTTTCTGAATTCGCATTTGCGTATGCAGTGACACGCCTTTGCATCTTCAAGTACAATAAAAAGCACCATAATACATGAAGTAAATGAGCAAACTTCTTTTCCCCTCCCAAATTCAGTAAATAATACTATAGAGGATTAACAATAAATCTAGCTGAATTTGAAGGGGGATTAAAAAAAAAGGAAAATGGGAAGGCCCACAATATGGTAACTTTTGACATTGCTGGAAGTTGAAATTTTCCAGAATAAGTATAGTGAATCATAGATGATGTATATAAAATTAACTGACATTTCTAAGTTCACTGGAACAAAGAACAAAACAAATGATCAACCACTGTCAAAATTTTGGCCAACAGGCTGGAGAACAAAAAGAGTAGAGGGGTTTGGAATAAGTACAATATGGACAATGCTATGTTACAATTATATACAGCAGCCTAGCTTGAACCCTTCCTCCTCTTCTTCTTGCCCTTCCTGAGCCGAGGGTCTATTGGAAACAGCCTCTCTACCTGTATTAGGTAGGGGTAAGATCTGCGTACAGACAACCCTCCCCAGACCCCACCTGCTAGGATCAAACTGGGTTTCTTGTTGCTGTTGTTGTTGTAGCTTGAACCCATGACCATCTTGCTAAGCGAATGTAGATGGCTGAGAATCCATGATGTGCCCCCTTAATTCCTTAAATACTATCCCTTTTCTTATATCGGAGAAATTCCCCGTGGCCCGACTCCAGTTGGCCTCAAATAATCAATGTAAAACCTGATGTTCTTCTGATTCTTGAACTCCTTTGCACTCCATAGAATTGTGTCATCTAAATACCAATATGGCAAAGGATATTTAACACGACTTGGAGGATTTGTATTTCTAAATTTCTGAGTCATCAACTTCAGCGGTTACCACAAAGCTGGGGAATGCTAAGGTTATATCCCTGAAAAGTAATAGCGCAATTTACTTTTCTTTTTTCGACTATCCAAATTGATTGCAGGAAAAGAAATTCTCAAGAGGAAACAGGAAAAAGTAAAAGGAAGGTTTCAGGGAAATCATAGTTAATAAGCATAATGAACCTATCTGAGTTTTCAGTGATGCAACACTTACATAAGATATGGAAGTGTCATATTCTTTAGTAGAGACGGATTCTTTGAAACAAATTCCTTCCATTCTTCTGGATCTATCCTCCCATCACACTTTGTGTCTGCATCATTGAATGTCTGGCACACAAGATAAAAGATAGATTGTGAATATGACCGCCGAAAGGACTACATCTTGACAGTTGGGTAAAAGATAGTTTAGAGCAATCTTCACCTTATCTATGATCATCTCAACTACATCATCTGATAGTACCAAGTCTGATTCATGCAGCAGCGCCAATACCATCTCTTTCAACTACAAATTACAATGATGTCGCATAGATCGAGATATACCTTTAGCTAAGAATGATTTTCAAGACGAGGGGCGGATAGAGTAGCACAAAAAAAAATATAGTTGTTATACCAACCTCTTCTCTCTCGATATAACCAGTGTGCCTTAGATCATATAATCTGAATGCAACTGCAGAAGATATTAAGCTAGAGGAATCAATGTCAACAGAGAGGCATGTATTATGCATTTCATTAGAAGACTAAAAGTGAGAAAATGAGAACTAAGTGAAGGCACCATAATAGTATAAAAGCCACCAAAGTTCATTTCCTACATGCCATTTTATCAGCTACTGGTGCATTAGGGTGGAAGATACCCAGCGATCGGACAAATTCTCCAAACTCAATCACTCCATTGCGCTTAATATCAAAGAGATCAAATATCTGCATAATTTTAGAAGAAAGTCAGTGAAGAGATAAACAGCCTCAGATGGACAGAGAGAACAGAGAAATCGACAAAAGCAGCCCAAACAAATGCAAGAAAAGCAGTTGATTTCCAGCATAAGAGTTAATGTGTTAAACTGTTAATAAGCAGTGCATAAAATTTTATGAAAGTTCATCCACAGGCAGGGACCATTTTAATGAAAGTTGGCTGAGAAAACATACCCTATCTGCAAACAGATTCCTCTTTTTTTGGTTCCTGAAGAGCGCTAGCTGAAACTCTTCCTGATGATGACATTGCATGAATTAGAATAGGTAGCCATAACGGATTTTAAAACTAGATAGGTACTATATCAATTATATATTTAAGAATCCAAAACACGTAAAGATATGTGCATTTCTATTTGCAAGCAGTAGAGATATACCTTATGAATGAGGCCATCATCAATTATGCAGCTGCTTATTCTTTTGAATAACTCATATAATGCTTCGACTTCACTCACTGTAACTGCAATATTTTTGAACAGTTCATAAAAATGCTTAGCAATTGTACTGAGAAGTTACTGATAATCAAAGCTGATACATGTTTTTACCTATTCTTTACATCCATGCTACGAAACCTTTTGATGGACGCAAAATTAATATTGCTATTAAAGCAGCCAGATTGACAAACCAGACCATACCCCTCGTTCTCAGAAGGCATAATATCATGGTTTTCCTAGTAAAAAGATTTGTGGGCAATGCTCATCCTGAGCTCTACTAAGGTGGAGATGTACAAGCACAAAATTATCTATATGGGAAAGGATATTGTAGGATGACAGTGTTTGAGTGCTCCTCTAAGGCCATATAATGTGCGATCTAACTAAACAAGTAGTCGAACTTGACAGCTAGGAAACAAGCAGACTGTAACTTCAACTTGAACAGCACAAATGACCAAGATTTTGTAAAGGATGCATACTCACAAGGTGTCTCAGCAGCAAGTACAGTGGGCTCCTCGTAACCAGGTGTGTATTGGGTTGTTGTTTTTGAGTGAAAGCAGCCCATCATAAGATAGTAACAAAAGATTGTCTTAGAAATAATATACTGAGCCAGGGAGAATTCATCAAACACTCCACCTGCCACAATTAAGATTAGGTCACTAACAGTAATAATGACTAAGAAGCAACAACCTAACTAGCACAGAAATTCTGCACTTAACATTAAGAAGGGAACTTCTCGTTCACAGCCATTCCGAAATCATCATGGAATTCAGCAAATAAATCATATTCTCCAGCTCTATTGTAATTGTCAGCATTAAAAATAACATGCATTTACTCATTAAACAAGTCCCGGTTAAAGTTTAAATATGCATGATCATCATAAATCGGTGACATGTAAATAAATATTCAGCCCAATATATATATATATATATATATATATATATATATATATATATATATATATATATATATTATATATATATATATATATATATATATATATATATATATAGCATAACAAAAGAGAAAGACTCTAGGTCTAAATGCAGAAACAAATGAGCTAAGAAGAGGCTTGTCTGATCATAGCATAACAAAAGAGAAAACAGCAACCAATTATAAGATTACCTAACACAGAAAGACTCTAGGTCTAAATGCAGAACCAAATGAGCTAAGAAGAGGCTTGTCTGCCATTCAAGCTTATATCCAAGTTTAAAAGGTGTGGTTTAAAATTTTCAGAAAACATATCCAAATAGAAAAAAATGTGTTTGGGTAGAAAACAGAGGTGAAATCAAATTGCTTTAGTTTTAGGGGGAAAAAAACAAGACCACAATTATTTTAAAACTATATAAAACCACACCAAAAACCAAAAGTGAGTTCAAAAGCAACAGGAATGGTAAAATTCCTATCAAACCCAAAAAATTTAATGAGACCAATAGATTTTTTTTTTTTTAAAAAAAAAGACATGCACATTATATCCAGGAAAAGATTACAGAGGAAGTGGTGCAAGTTTGGAAGCTTGTGTACAGAAAGGCAACATAGTAATAATTGATTTTCTGCGCTGCTATAAAGTATGGAGAAAAGAAAAAGCCAAGCAGAGAAAATAACAAAGAGAAGGGGGGGAAACGAAATTGCATTGAAGAATGAGTAACCCATAAAATTGAGTTCAAAAATGGAAAAGTGAAAAAGAAAGAAGAAATCTCAAGTTGTGTGAAACCCATAGCATTGCATTGCTTATCAAATTAAACTGAATTCAGAATTTATGGGACAAATGCAGCACTCAAAACTGAATACAGAAATGGGAAACAGAAAAAGATTGATAGAGATGCAAAATATCATACCTAACAAATTAAAGTTGCAGAAAAGAAGAAGTCACCTGAAACTTGGGAACACTGCTAATTGGTATGTATCTGTGTTTATATATATACACACATCCGCTGGATTAATTTGAGCGTCCCCTTAGGTAGCCATAAAAAGAAAAATACAAATTTGGTTTCTTTTTCTTTTTTTATATGAGTTGCTAGTTGTAAATGTAATACACCAAATTTTAATTTTTTTTTTTTTTTCTGTGAACCGTAGGGCCCTATTCGGGGGAAACGCTCCCTACCAAGGATTTCCATACCCAGGGCTCGAATCTGAGACCTCTGGTTAAGGGAGAAGCAGTCTCATCCACTGCACCACATTCTTTGGTGGTCTACTATTTGAATAAAACGTAACGTATATTTTTTTTTTTTTTGTATTTTAGTTTTAAATATCTTATGTGTAAACGATAAGTTTTATAGTCCATAAATATTAGTAACTTAAATAAATTTTTAATCAAAATTAAATCAATACTAATGTTATTAAAGACTCTCAATTCAATTGTACTAGGAATTACAATTATGTTGGATATCTATTTTAGTTTTTCATGATTTAGATAAAATGCATAACTTATTTGTTTTAGTGTTTAGTCATATAAATAATAGTATTTATTATATTTATTTTTATTATGATTTATTAATATATTTATTTTATGCGATTTTATTAATTTTATCGTTAAATATTTTAGTACAATGCCATGACTCATTTCATATTTTATGTTATTTTCTTGAAAAATATATTATATAGCTATGTCTTATTAGGATTAAATAAATATTTGGAGCACAAATTTTTTGTGCTATAAAGACTTTATGAAGAAAAAAATTCGAAAAATCCCGAAAAATCGAGATTAAAAAACCGACATTTATTGGTTTAGTTTGATCTTTAGATTTATTAATCCGACATAATTAATTTGGTTTTGAAATTGAAAAAGCCGATTCAACCCGATCTATGTACGCCCTAAGTGGCACTATTACATCCCTATCTTTCCACCTTGTTTTCAGATATGGATTGTGATCTATACTATACTCCTATGAATTTGCTTTCTATGCTATATAATATTGCCATGTTTCTTCAAATTGACTTTGTGTATTCCTTAAAGGACACTACAAACAAAAAAATGTGCTCACGCCTCTAATTAAAAATTTAAAAAAAAAAAAAAAAAGAGGTAACAATTACTTAGTCCAGCGAGATCGTCAAATGACAACAAAAACTAGAAATTTATTAATATGTTCTTCCTTTCCTATTTTATATAAACCCAGAAGCCTCTCACGGCAAGTTATTTATATTTGCCGTAGTAGTGTGGTTGACAATTTCTGTTATTGCGTCACATTTGTTTAATCATTTTTTGCTTTTTGTTGATTCTTTGCTATGAGTTTACGATTGTCAATAATTGGAAACCATAATCTGATCATGTGTTGACAACACATTACGATAAGTCTTATTGAAATTTGCAGCAAAAGATTAGTTAAAAAACGTTTTTGGAAGTTCCTTTTGCTATGTTTGGAAATTTTGTATTAATAAATAAAGTGGGAGGAAAGAAAATAATGCTATTTATGGGACTTGAAACTTTCAGTGAACTTTACCTTCAACTTCTTTGCTGTGACTTTTAATTTAATTGGTCTACTTATCTATAGATAGTCTATTAGTTTATCCCTCAGATTAGAAAAAAAACAAAAAAAACCAATATGAGAAACTTTAGAATTCCTACAAATTATTAACAAGAGTTGATGATATATATAGATAGCTAAATCCAATTTGTAAATGTACGTACACATTTACTCAGTAGAGAGTACCTTTGAGTTAAAGATATTTGTTTTGAATATGTAGTTTCTTCGATGTTAATTAATTATCTGAAGTCAAAGCAATGCATTTAATATGGGCAATGGAAATTGTAAAGATGATAAACTTGAGGCAATTGAATGACAAAAGACAAAAAAAGAAAAATTTGAAAAGAAAAGGAAGAAAGGGCGAGGGGAAGAGAAAAAGTAACAAGCCAGTTGTTGTATTGACTGGCTGGTTGTGTGTTGGCAGCTGGCAGCTCCGTAAGACGGGAAAGGAGCTTTACTGCTATCCAAGAGCCACGTTATTCTTGCACTTTTAACCGCTCGACACAAGTATTTCCATCCATTCATTAGATCTAAACCTTAAAAAAGGTACTTGTATGATTATTAGAATTCATTCACTGTATTCCTACTTTGTTTTTATTCCTACTTTGTTTTTATTTAAGTGCTGAGTGTTACTCCCAAACGTACACGCAAATGTATGTAATTCTACAAGTGATATAGTAATAAGAAGAATGTTAAATCCATAGTGACTTGTGTTAATTACTTACCAATTTCACTAAAATTATTGTTAAATCGAATCAATCGGAGTTTAATAATGTGATTATAACTAAGCAATGAATGTAACAAGTAACTAATTAATTAAGCAGAAAATGGTTGTTGTATATTCAATAGAGATGAACATTCAAGGGTTGTGATCAACTTACCAATTCAATTGCATAGATAGTGAATAGAACCTAATTATTGGCCAGACAATTAAGCAATTAATCACAGAATTGAATAAACAATCATATATTAACAAATAATAATCAAGGTCAAGTCAACTTCAAACGATAATATTCATGGCTAAATCATAACCCCAAAACTTATCAACTCTTGATAAAGTCAAATAATTTTTTCAAGTGCTGAATAGTTAAAAATACTAAGAAAGATGAAGAAATGTTGAGACCCTTGCTCACGTAAGTGTTCCGTGTGTATTTTTCTCTCAAAGTGGCATCCCCTCCAAAATAGATTTAGACTTTTTTATATACAAATTGGGGGTGTGTAGAGCCAAAATAATCTTGTCCCCAGCGAAGTGGATAGTTTCCCGTCACCCAGGGTAGCTCGGGAAAATTTTTGCTTCCGAAAGTTGCGTCCCAAGCAGCGTTGGGTGCTGGCCTGGGCGCTACACTTTGACCATTTTTCGCTTTGTTTCCTTTTGCTTCAAATCGTGCACTTTCGTCCCATATTGTTTTCGGGTGACTCCTACACATAAAAATACCACAAATTAGAATTTACACATTCAAATTCCACAAATACGAGTAAAATGCGAGGCAATATGTATATAAATATATACATTTTAAGCCGAAGACAACTGTAGAAGATTTCGGAAAAGACTACATATCCATTTAATAATTTCACCTGCTAGTTGTTAGGGCAAAAAGTAAGAAAAAGAAAATAGTATACGCCAACTTTAGGGTATGCAGGATGATGTTGATTTCTAATACATGATTCACGAATCACAAGTGAAGATTGAAGAGAAAAATGAAAGGCCCAAACGTGACAGCACTAAGGTGTCGGCGAATTTAAGCAAATAGCCCCATTGTTGAAATATAATTAAAGTACGAAGGAAATTTGGTTCTACTTTTTCAACTTATCTGTCCTAAGCCTAACAGCATTTGATGGTTAATACCAAGCCGTCGTTATTCGAAAACGATATCTTCTTTATTTTTTAAAGAAAGAATCGTTTTAAATTCGCATTTTGGTTTGAGTTTTGCTCGTATCATCAATAACTATTTTAACATTTATTTTTACATAATAAAAGATATAATATATTTAATAATTAGATGAAGTACATGAAAACTAAAAAAAATTTACAAAAATTAATATATTTTAAATTAAGAAACTAATAAAATTGATTATATAATGCAACAATCAATTTACAAGAAAAATAAAGTTAAAAAAATGGTATTTAGAAACACAAAAGGGAAAAAAAGTCACTCATGCTGTATAGCGAATTGAGGATCGAAATTCCAAGGAAAGCCAAAGAGGAAAAGAGAGTGTGAAATTTCAATTTTGACATGGAAGTATTAGGTTATTTTTTCATTGTTGAAAGAAACACGTCGTAGTTTAGAATAAGGTGAGAGTTAATGATTTATTTGAACCACAAAAAAAAAAAAAAAATGCGAGAACGACTATTAGTTAATTTTAGGTGAAACTATCACTAGTAGTTGTTTCCAGAACTGCACCAGTATTTTAGATCCACTAATAAACTATTATTTTGCGTCTGTTTCAACAAGTGTTGAAAACTTTTCTCGAAATAATCTTTTAAATTTTTTTCTTTCTTTTTTGAACCTATCTATTGCTAAGGGTTGTTTGACATTTAGTGTGTCTTTTATTGTCCGGTATTTGGTATTCGCTTTTTTACTTTTATATTATATTAAGTACAGTTATTATTCATACATTCATTATTGTATTGTATACTTAGTTAGCTTAGTTAGTGGTTAGCTAGCTTAGTTAGAAATTAGCTTGGTCAAATAGTCAACATGTATATATACTTGTACATTTAATGAAATCAGTTGAAGGTTGTCATTTTACAGAAAATACATCGATCTTTCTGCTCTCTCTATCCCTATCTCCTGTTCCCTTTCTTCTCCTCCCTCAGAACCTTCCAGAAGACTCCATGGGAGCTCTGTAGATCTGAGTTTGCATGTGTAATTTGTTATGGTATCAGAGCATGGGTATCAGCTCGGATTCCTTCAGTATCTCAAGGTTTCGTTTCAAATCTCACTTGAATTTCGTCAATTTCTAGGGTTTTGGTCGTTGCCGCCCAATTCTGAAAATCGTCTCAAAATTGAAGGTCACAGCTTGATTGAAGACTTCATACTTTTCAACCTCATCAAATTGGAACCTCGCACATGGCTATCAACCAAGCTGAAGAAACGAGCCCTAGCACGAGCAGAAATGACCAATTGGTCATCGATACAGGTAATCCCCTTTACATCCATCCTTCTGATAGTCTTGGAATGACCTTAGTACCAGCTCCGTTCGGCGGAGATATCGCTCATGGAGAAGAAGCGTGTTGTGAGCCTTGTCAGTTAAGAAAAAATTAGGGTTTATAAATAGGGAATCTAGAAGACCTAGCCCTGATTCACCTCAATTCCGCCAATGGGAGAGGCGTGATGAT